AACTCAGATCATAAAGCCAGATTGTCTTGTTATACCCACCAACTGACGCAGCACAACAGTTTCTCTATAGACTTATCCCCTTATAATCACCTGAAATAGCTATTGGTTCACCAGAACAATACACCGTGGGTTTCTGACCAATCCTAGCATGCTTATTACTTTTGTTACTGTGTCAGTCACATTCTGCTTACCGGTGTACTGTAGAGAATATTATATGGCAAGTAGTTATGTAGAACAGCCGTTGGGTAGATGTGTAAGACGTAGTTTGGCGCATGCTCCAAGGATCCATGAACTGCACTGTACGACACTTGTTCACAATCAACCTGTAAAAGAATTGTTCACATTCAACTTCATATATAGAACCTTCTTGCAACAGAGTACAGTTTGATGTTAAATCATTAACAAGTCAAAGCCTTTGCTCGCCTAAAAACAGATCTTTCTCCTTCATAATGAGCGGAAATAAAAACCGCTCAATATTTAACTGAACAGTTAAAAAGTATACCTATGATAAACGTCTTTTATCATAGCTCTCAATTACAAAAAGCCTCAATTACTACGCGCTTCGCGCTTAGGCCATAAATCCAAGCGAAAAAACCAATTCCGTAACTTGCGGTACAGACCTCGAATTCAGTTAGTAAGAGGTATTTATTTTGCAATCTTAAATAGTTTTATCTACACATAATTAATTAATGCATAATTTTCGAAAATACAATAATTTTTTCACAAATTACTTTCGACGCAGAAGTTCCTCTGAAGTAGCTTACCGCGATATGAAAAGGTGGTCCCTCGCCTCCCGGGGGTGGACACTGAACTAAAGAATACCCCTCAGATGCCAACTTGTTCCACAACAGCGGTGTCGTACTTGCTCCATACCTTAAGATAAAGAACAACAACAAAAACAAAAAATCACAAAAAAATAAAACAAAAGAACATATATCAGAAACAAAGAAGTTTCGATTTAAACCTTGTCCTTTTTGTCCTCAAGTCAGAGAGTGTTTCCATTACATTTAACAGGCGCCAATAATTATAATCAATGTATATTTGAAGCAGCTTGAGACCAAGATCACAAAATGAATATTTGCTTTTTATTGCAGAAATTGCTTCTCATTGCAGTTTCGTAGCAGTAGCATCTCGCCACAAAATAACTGTCTCTATATTCCCGAACGCCAATGGGGCATAATCCCAAAAAAATAATTCTAATGAAGTGCCAATGAACTGATTGCAGTTGTCATTGTCAAAGCACAGATCACAGTAAAATAAACAAACCCGAATCCCGCAGGTCTAAGATAAAGTGCAGCCTTGTGAGCCAATATTAGGGGAACACTGAACACACTGTCTGGTTGAATTGTTGTAACACAGGACAACTGATCTTCCTTCTTGCACAATAAGTCCATTGAGATCGGGAAGTGGTTGTTGACCTGTGTTAAAAAGCGCTGTGTTATGAAGGCAACATTAAACCAAACTTTGTTGCTAGTTTTGTTTTGCTTTGTTACTTTTTCCACGCTACACGTACCTGGCAAGTTAAAAGCATTTATTTTTTTAAATCCACTCTGAACCACGGATAATCACGATCAATGTCAGTATCTGAGCACCTACTACGCACCTACCCCTCCCCTAAACCCAACGACAGCCAACGAATGAGAAAGGTTTATGTCAGGTTAGGGGAGGGGCACGTGCGCAGTTGCTGATATAGATCTGATAAGTTCTGCGTACTGACCTGTAAGGGTGATCTGATAGTTACTATCTTCTGGCCGTCTCCAGTTTCCACTTGAATCACAACTGATACAATCAATCCAGAAAGGAGCTGTAAAGAAAAGCACGTGTTACTTTAATTTTTGATTGCTCTGTCGTTCATTTCAACTCAGTTTTCATTCAGAAGTTGGCGATTAACGGTTCAGAGAGCAATCAAAGCTCCAAAAAGAAAAACAAAAGTTTGTAAGCAAAAAAAAAGTACTCAGTCAAAAACAAAGAAATAACAGGAAGACTCCGTTAGCAAATTAGCAAATGTTGACGAAAAACTTAGACAGCATAAAGACACTGACCTTATACACAAATAGGAAAGGATCTAGGTCAGTATTTGAACAACTGCCCACCTAACCCTCCAGTAACCCAACAACAGTCAACAGATATCAAGTTAGGCTGTTAGGGTTAATGTTGGATCAGGGGAGGGCTATATGCACAGCTGTACAGATACTAACATTGACCAATAAGAAATATAATTTATAGGGTTATCAATATACCAGTATTTCTGAAACAGAGACGAGTGGTTAGCGTTGAAAGCCAGAATTGAGCCCACAGAAGAGTCGAGAAAGCTAAAGTCGTTTATAAAATCACGTTTCCCATTAGAGAGCCGTTAATTTAGGGTACTTGCCCTTCACC